GTTGAGTGAGTGATAGTGTTTGAGCAGCTGCAGCATCAGTTCATCACTGTGACTCTGTGGTTTTTGTACGACTCTTTATCACTGTGTGAATATATTTATACTGTTTATGTAGTGGTAACTCTGACAGTAATAATGTCCAGCATCTTCAGTCTGGACTCCACTGATGGTCAGAGTGAAATCACTGTTAGATCCACTGCCACTGAATCTAGATGGAGTTCCTGACTGCCGTGAGCTAATGTCATAAATGAGGAGTTTAGGAGCTTCTCCAGGTTTCTGCAGATACCAGGAGAAACAGTCACCACAACCCCGTGAACGATCTCCGATTCCTCTGCTAGTTTGACAGTTTAAAGTAACTGTTTCTCCTGGTTGAACAGCTGCTACTGAGGGAGTCTGAGTCACAGAAATTTGTCCTGTAGTTTCTGTGAATGACATTTCATAAGATAATAATTGACAGTTATTCAATTCAAAGTATCCTGAACAAAATCAGTTTTACTATCAAACACATGCATATAAATCACATTTTGAGTTATAAATGAACCTTGAACAAAAAGAATGAGTGTCCAGATACAGACGCTGATGATCATCATCTTCTTTCTGGTTGTTCTTTCAGTTAAATGTAGAAAAGCTCTCAGTGATGAAGTGTTAAACTCACAGCACTATAAACACTCTCAGAGCACTGAAGCATCTGATCAATATGCAAACACACTCCAGATCATTTACCTGAAGACAGCAGAAACACAATTTTTCCATTTTGTTTGTGCAACAGCTTTGCTAGTAAGCACTAGATGCTTATGACTTGTTGCATTATTTTGAGCTCAGCTAAAACACTGTTTTAATTACCAATTTTATTAAGACTTAGATTCTGAAAATGGTTTTGTTTAATTGTAAGAGTTGAGAACAGCTGCGTTTAGCAGTAAATGTGAACTGAAGCTCTTGGGGTTTGAACATGGTCTCTGGAGACGGAGCTGCTCTATTCTGAGACGATCAGAATCACTAAAGCTGCCAATGCAAATCTGATTTTCAGCTCAAACTCACAGTTTCACTGTTTGATCGGTTCAACGCTCTGAACTGGATCAGTTTCACTTCTGCTCATGCAATGATGAGACAGTTCTGAAGATTGAGTGGTAGTTTCATAAGGCAAGTTTATCATGATTGTAGTAGAATCTACAAACCACAAAAACTACATCACTGGAACTGAGAAAAAATGTTGTGTTTTTTGTTGATTTGATATAAATTTGTCTCAGAATCAGAGCCTATTTGAATGATACCCATCTGTGACAAGACAGATCACAGTCTAATAGAGCTGATTTGACTCCTAAACTCAGTTTGGAGCTCATGTGTAGTTCTGTGTTTGGTCTCTGTGTGTCAGTAGTGAGTGATAGTGTTTGAGCAGCTGCAGCATCAGTTCA